AGAGAGAGACCCTGCCTCAAAAAAAAAAGAAAAATGTATTTATTAACTCACTAAATCACATGATTTAACATCAGGCCTAACCACAACTGAAATTTTGACACAAGGGTAAAAATTATATGTTGAGATATTCACAACTAGAGGCAGATGAAATTATCTGGATTTCTATTGATGACAAAGTTATAGTACTGTTAATACCACAGCTTGCTGTCTGTATTTATGATGAATGGGACACTCAATTTCAGTTAAAGTCTTGTGACAATAAAGATGTAAACGTTTCCCCACACAAGTTAGGAATCGTGGCTATATAACAAAACAGTGACTGAATTTCCACCTTCCCATCCAGTAACGATGTTGAAATATCCGGGGGGGGGGGCGGATAAGCAAGGCCTTAGGAGAGGCAGAGTCCATTGGGGGCTGGGCAGCCTGGCAACCCAGACGGGAGGGTGATGTTGGACAAGGTGGTCACAGGGCAGGATTTGCCTGGATGTCCTCACATTCCAAAGCAAGCCTGCATCTGCCCATAAAAACACCATTCTAGAAGGTGGTCCTGAACCCGCATGCCCTTCCAAATCACCCTGTTACCTCCTCCATGACATCTAGACGGCGTTGCACAGCCATATGTCTGTCACACACTGTGCTCTGAGCTGAATCTCCTCGTGGAGGGCTGAAGGGTTCTGCAGCTGTGGAAAAACGAGTCTTTTCACTGTGGGACCCTTAGTTTTCCACAATGCCAGAGACTCCTGTAAACACTGGGCTCAAGTGGGGTCAGTCCTCAAGGCAAACGCAAGAGCAAGCAAAGGAAGGCCCAGGTGGGGGTCAGTGTGCGAGTGTCAGCCATCTCAATCCCACCAGTCTCTACAGTCACAGCCACCCACAGATCCAGATGAACTTCCTCAAGGAGGTGAAGCCCAGGGAGGAAGGGAGGACGGGCTTCAGCTGGGAGCTGCAATGATGGAGGGGTCTGAAAGAGCATGGCTCACTGTGTAAACCCTGCAGGCAGCCTGCAGTGGCTGGAGATACAGGGTGGGCGGGAGAGAGACTGGAGAGGGAAGTCCTGGAAATGAAGCCAAGGGGGTAGAGTTTTAACCCAGGGGCTTTAATAAACCAGTTCTGATGCTTGTTTTGTTTGTTTGTTTGTTTGTTTGTTCTGAGACAGAGTCTCGCTCTGTCGCCCAGGCTGAAGTGCAATGGTTCGATCTCGGCTCACTCCAACCTCCGCCTCCTGGGTTCAAGTGATTCTCCTGCCTCAGCCTCCCGAGTAGCTGGGATTACAAGTCCTGCCACCACGCCCTGCTAATTTTTGTATTTTTAGTAGAGACAGGGTTTCACCATGTAGGTCAGGCTGATCTCAAACTCCTGACCTCAGGTGATCCGCCCACCTCGGCCTTCCAAAGTGCTGGGATTACAGGTGTGAGCCACCATGCCAGGCCAAGGGGGTTTATTTTAACAGAAAAGTCACAGGGTCAAACATGAATTTTTAAAATAGAGGGAATAGATTGGAGGGAGATGCCTTTGAAGGCAGGAGGTTACTGCAGCAATCAGGATAAGAGGAGTGAAGGAGAAGTGATAAGCAGAAGCAGGAGCTGTAGGAATAGTGAGGAAGGAAATGAGAGGAGATATTTTAGTAGCAGCATTGACGCTGCAAACCCATTAGTAACAGTTGGCATGTGATGAGCGCTTACCATGCACCATGTAGGGTGCTAACTTAACCTCTCCAACAACCTGTTGTTATGCCCAATCTACACATAGGAAAACTGATGCACAGAAGGGTGAAAGGATGTGTCCAAAGTCACTACTCATAAGCAGAGGATCTGCCATTCAACCCGCTCAACTCCTGATTCACTATTGTTCTTCTTGAGTTAGCGCTTCCAGGCACCATCAACCCTCATAGCAGAAGTCTGAGAGCCCTGATTCCAAGTTCAGGTTTCAGAGTTGGTAACCCTGAGATGCCTGTGGGGGATCTCAGGGTTACCAACCTGGAGAACGCTGACACTCAGGAAGGAGGGTGCTGCCCCAGAAGTCAAGAGAAGCCAGGAGCTTTATAGATTCTACAGAGGATGAAAAGGGTCAGCATGACCAAAAGCAGCGGGGAGGTGTAGCAAGTTAAGGACTGGAAAGAGAGCACAGAAAGGCCCTGCTAAATTTTACCCCAGCACTTTTAGGAGTGGTGGAAAAGCAGAGTTTGGATTACTGTGAGATGAGAAGGGAAGGTGAGGTTGGGGGTAGAAACTTGGAATCTGGAAAATTCCATGAAGCTTGGCTGTGAAGGAAGGGAGATTGGATCGCAAGGTCTAGAGAAGTATTTATGGTTGTCATTTTTTTTTTTTTTTTTTAAGTATTGGAAAACACACCATGCTTACAGCCTGAGGGACAGGAGGAAGACAGGAGAACCCAAGGAATGCACTTCCTGAACTGATGGGAGGCCCTGGATCCAGAGCAGGGGGGACCACATCTGGAAGGAAGACAGAGGAAATGCAGCAAAAACAGGCAAAGGCAAACCATCTAACTAGGGGCCAAAAAGTGGAGTGAGCTCCCACCTGATGGCCTCTGTTTACTCTGTGCAATAAGAAGGAGATCACGTAGGGAAGAGAGCTAGATGTTACAATGACAAGAATTCTTTGAGTAGGTTGCTAAACACAGACATTAAAATAGTGACCATGGTGTCTGGAAATGGCAGCTCGTGCCTGTAATCCTAGCACTTTGGGAGGCCGAGTGGGAGGATCGCTTGAGGCCAGGAGTTCGAGACCAGCCTGGTCAACATAGTGAGACCCCATCTCTAAAAAGAAAAAATTTTTTAAGTTAAAAAAAAATGGTGGCCATGATGGGAACATTTACACCACTGAAATCAATGACCCACACCCCTTTTTTTTTTAAGAGCCAGTCTATCAGTGCACCACTAGGTAAGGGACTTGAATAAAGAGAGGGCTTTGAAAGAGGATGTGCAGAATGAGGGATGCAGTGTGGGAGGACCATGCAGAATGAGTTGGCATCAACAAGGAATCCTGGAAGCACGAGTCCTCCCCCAGCAACGCTCCATAGTCTGGGCGTAGAGCAGCAAAGACAGATGGCTGGATGGAGCTGAAACCTAGGAGTCTGCAGGATGGATGTGGTGGAGGCAAGGGGCCAAGGAACTGAGATTTGGCCAGTCAGGGGTTTAGGACAGGAGCCCTGGAATCCAGCTGGAATAAGGAAGGAAATGAGGCCAAGAAGGGGGCCAATAAGTTGGGAGAAACAGGGGCTGAAGAGACGGAGGTCTTAGGAATCACACAAGGAACAAGAGGTAAAGAATACTGCAATTTTAGCTTTTAGAGGTAGAGCAGCTTCAGATAGTGACAATATTAAGGCTGTGGCCGTGGATGTGAGCATCCAAAGCTCAATGGGGGGAGACAGTTATGGAACTTGATCTCTCTACGTGCAATGCTTGTAGCTGTAAGGCCTTGGTGTTGGAAGGGTTGGCCAAGGGGCCACCTGCAGTTGTCTAGAAGTGGGGCAGGTCTTGAGGTAAGACAGAGCTGGTGATGGATGTGTAACTCTGAGAGGCCGAGTGATTTGCCCAAGATCACACCATCTGCAAATGCCTGGACCTCAGGCACCCTGACCTCCCGGCCTCATCTCAGCAAGGTGGAGCCCCCTACCCTGTGAGTTTCTGATTCCAACTCTATCTAGCTCTCAGCTCTTCCACTCAGGGATAAGAACAAGACCACGGACAAAATGTCCTTCCACTCTGAGCATCTTTTGTGGAGAACAATCTGTTTTTCAAATTATCCTTTCCATTATTTCCCTCCACTGAACTTAGAAAAGACTTTTCAAAAGATAATGGTGTTATTGTTGAATCTGGGGAGGGAGGAGGACATCATAATGGTGCTTTGGTTATTTTTTTAAGGAGAGTCCTTTAAAGATGTATACTGAAATATTTACAGATGAAAGGCTGTGCTGTCTTGGATTTACTTCCAAAGTAAATAATTCAGGCCTCGGTGGGGATGGGGGAGAGGCATGCGTGGATGTTTAGAGCCAACAAGATGGGCTGAGAGTTGCTAATTGTTGAAGCTGGGTGATGAGCACATGGGGTCGCATTCAGCGATTCTGTCTACTGTTGTGTGCACAGTTTGAAATGTTCCATAACACAAGTCTGATGGGGTTGTCAGCAGAAAGCAGCAGCCATCGTGGGCTGCAGGCATCCATGTAAAATATTCAGAGACAGAGAGGCCCCTGGAGGCTATGCTCTATCCTGGCCCCACATCCTGAGAAGGCCCTTAAGAGGCAGGAGCAAGTCTAGAGGAGGCTATGGGAAGGGACTCCTTTTTTTTTTTTTTT